TCTGGGGCTATATATTTCCGGGTCTTTCAGTCTGCCTTTGCTCAGCATTGACGTTCGGATGTCCTGAAACCCGCCTAGCACCAGGTCGCCCCACGTCCGCTACCTGAGGGCATAGGTTTCTATACGGCATTCCCTGAACAGCTGAACCTGGGCTAACCCCCGTCTCACCACTACGCATAGGGTCTTTTCGCTCTCCTGCCATTCCACGGTTCATCCTCTCCAACATCCGTGACAGAATGCTGAGCCATTTTTAACCCCGAGAGCGGCGTCTTTTGTTTTCTCTGCAGCGTTTTTTTCTTTTTCTCTGCAGCGTTTTTTTCAGTTCCTCTATTCTGATCGCTGGATATCACTCCGATCTTCCATGCCTGTAAACAGGTCCTGTACCTGGCTTTCCTTGGGTAAGATCCCTCCAATAACAGTGATTGAATGTTGAGCTGGCTCTCCCATCCTTATTGCTGGATATCACTCTGGTCTTCTGTGTCTGTGAGCAGGTCCTGTACCTGGCTTTCCTCAGGTAGATCACTCCGATATCAGTGATAGGATGCTGAGCTTTTTTCCTCTCCCTTTCTAACTGCTGGATATCACTCCGGGCATTCGAGTCTGTGAGCGGACTACGGTCTGGATTTCCTCAGGTTGTCCACACTGATATCAGCGTTAGAATGTGTACGTGCCTATTGTCCAGTCTGCTGTATATTTTCCCCGGGGTTTTTTGTTTTTTAATCTTTTGTTTTGATTTCTCTTCCTGGTTTCCCCTCCTATTTGGTCCCCCCTGCTCCCTGTGTTTTTTGGTTCCTATCTGTTTTTTTTTGTGGTTTGTCTCCCTGGTCTTTCGAAGGTTTATATCTGTTGTGTTTGTGCTTGTGTAATTTTTTGTTTTGAGTCTCCGGAGCTCTACTCGACCCCCCCTTCCTCCACCCAATAAAGGTTTATACCCCGAAGGAGGGGGTAGCTCTCAGCCGTGGACTCCCGGAGGTTTCCTTTCAGTTAAATGAGGTTTTTCCTCCCCTCAGTGCTGTGCAGCTCATTTATTTGTGTGGGTGTCAGGAGGAGGGGGTGGTACTTTCATGCCCTCTGCAGCCAGAGGGCACTCCTTCTCTGTCCTGTCTCTCATTTCCGGTTCTCTGCTGTCCTTCTGGTGTTTCTCTCTCTCTGGGGCTATATATTTCAGGGTCTGTCAGTCTGCCTTTGCTCAGCATTGACGTTCGGATGTCCTGAAACCTAGCACCAGGTTTCTAGACGGCATTCCCTGAACAGGTGATCCCGGGCTAACCCCCGTCTCGTCGCTGGTCAGTATACTGGTCAGTATACATTACTTCTACAGAAGAACAAACCACATTTAAAATGCTACCCTTGAGCATTCTGTTCAGTAGGTACTGTAATAATATCTTATATAAGCTCATGAAGTTTATATAAATTTCATTTTTTCAAAGTATAAGAGCAAATTATTATTTAATTTCCTGTATGTGTATCCATTAAGGACCCACAGACTGAACTCCATTTCCAGTATCATTTTTTTTAATTGTATCAGAAATTTCATTAATAAATCATGTCCTTTAAAAATAATAATGACAATCATTAGCAGTATTAGTATTTTTATGAATCCCATGAATATTTTATATACAATACATACAATTTAATCAGAGTTTTATCTTCATGATGCTGTTCTTCACTAGGCATTAAGGTAAAGGACAAGACCATTTTACACTCTTAGCATCCAACTTGAGAACAGAATATTTATAACCTTTTAATTTTTACAATTGGTGTTAAGTAATTCTGTGATAAACCATGCAAAAAGTCAATGTTGTTATTGTAAAAAAATATATATTTACATAATGTTGTTCTGCTACACAATTATTATATATTAAAGTTAACAGCAGTTAACAATAGCTCAGAGCAAACATGATCATTTTTTTGTGATTAAATTTTAAACCAGATGTCTCCTGATCTTACTGTGTCCATGCCTTGAAAAGCCATAATCAAGAATTATCAGATGATTTTAACCATACCTCATAAACTAACAATGGGGTCATTATTGTACCTTTGGTATCAATTCACTTGTGTTTTCTTCAATACCTGTGAAGTCCATAGTTTGTGACATACTGTAGCCTTGGAATTCACTCCATCATTCCATTAGTGGGTTTGGAGTGGTAAAGCTCCACCATCAACAAACAAGACTATCTGAATCTAAAACAGTTTCCACTCCTGCTGCATGCACAGCCTAAACTCTAATCAAGCATTTGTTACATAGTTGGTCACCTTGAATGCTACCAGACCAGCTACCAAAGTCAGAAATGATTCTTCAAAGATTACAATTCCAATATTGAGGAGTACAGAATTAAGAGAAAGGCTTTACGGGTTCCATGTTTTTTTTTATAAAATTAATAATCAGATGTAATTACCTGTATTCCCTGAACATGAATATACAGTATGCACCCAGTGCCAGTGGATAAATTATTAGTAACCGGTTCTTAAATTCATCAACTTTTTCATTGAAAAGCACTGTTGGCTTCTGATCCCTAAAGCTGTCACAATCCCATTCCCTGGTCATAACAATATCCAGATCTCAAGTCTATGGAAAACTGGTGGAACATAGAGCTCAATCCCATATACCGCTCCTCTCATCACAACCTCACCTGAAGGCAATTCTGTTGCCTTACCAAAATTCCCTTTTCAGGTGTACATGTGTATTTTAAACCATTTTACTCCTCAAAGGAATATATTTTGTTGCTGGTTTCCTTTTCTGAACCAAAGCAACATTCATTAGATTACTTAGAATTGAAATTATTTGATTAGGACTCCTATGGGAGGTTTCTATGGGAATTTCGCTTTTATAGATGCAAGTGAAGGAAAGTGGCTTTAAGCAAGCAGTGGGAAAAGGAGCATAAAACCCCACAGCCTTGTAACCAGAATGTTACCAGAAGGTTGTGGATTCAAAACCCAGATAATGCACTGCTATTCGGGAAGGTGCTTAACTCAAATTACTCTAGTAAAATGCTTATCTGTATTGGTGTACACCACTTTGTGTTGTTCTTCATAAAATGGTCAGCAAAATAGTATTTAGCTTTAGAAAAATATGAAAAAAGAATGGCCCATGCAAAACAATAGGGACCTTTTTAGTCCTTTATAAATTAATTATGGTAATCACAGTAATTTGTGTCAATTTAATGACAAAAAAACATTTTCTGAAATTCCAGTCCTTTGAAGTTACATCTGCGAAAATGTCAGAGATCTGCCTCATTTCAAATGCTCCAATACTAGGATGTTTCTCATGTAGCAGGATATGTTAAATTGCCACACTCCAATTACATCCAATTCCAAACATGTTTGCTTTTATTAGTGTACTTAAAGGTCCACAGCTGACTTTGTAGTCCGGTTGTTAACATACTATACACAAAACTCTTTTACAAGTTATTGCGAGAGCTTTACGAGTCTGCTTGGGCTTAAGTTTGATGTGGTTTGTTAATTTTTTGTAAATCTGGTGCAGTACAGTATATGTATGAGGCAGGCATTCTGCTTTCAATATGCAATCAATATGTACACAATATGCACCCAATCTGCTATTGTGTACTTTGCACCTAACACTTACTGTATTTCATAAGTTGGGAACAGCCTATTGAAGACAGAGAAGAGTTGTGATTCGAATTAGTAAACTTCATTGGTGTTATTCACCTGGGAGAGGAGAATGACAACCACCTGGAGGAACCTCCCCCCCCTTCCTTTTCCTTTAACGAGGGAAGAGCCAGGTGCTGTAAGGGTAAAACGAGGGTGTGTAGGGTTAGAGTAAGAAGAAATGGCATATTTATATGTAGGCATGAGGAAGCAGGAAAGATTAATAGACCTCCTCCTAAAATTTACTTTAAATTCCATTAACCCCAAATTTTTCAGACTTTCTGGTAAAGAAGGCCACATTCAGATTATTTTTATCTTTACTCTTTAGTCTGTATGGAATTCCAAATTTAAGGAAGGATTAATAGACTGCTTTATCCAACACTCATTGTTCCAAACCTCATTATTCTGAATACCGAGTGTAGAAATGTTTAATTCCAAGCACTTTAAGAATGTTGATGAGGAACATCAAAGTACAGTATTTTATTTCTGCATTTCCCACCTAAAGTTTTATCTCAAATGTGTTTTTTAATTGAGAATATACTTTAATTTCCTGTTTAAAAATTGAAGATATGGGACAATTGGTGAAATTTTTTAATCTCTGAACATAGATGTAGTACATGTTGGAACTTATAACTTAAGGCAATAAGCTACAGTATTGAAATTAAGTATTTACAAATCTTTGCTTTCCTGCTGCATGTGGCATAAGGGTATTGTAGATTACAATTATATACAAAACAGATTGATTATTGTTCCTTAGCTCTTGCTGAAATCTTTCCTGTTTCTCAGAGACACCTACAGAATAGAATATGTTTTATTCTATTAATTTATTAGTCCTATAGCAATGCAATACTGCAAACCTCTACCCATACAAAACCCCTTCCACATATATGTTAAAGCAATGATTCCCAACCTAGGTCATAGACCACTGAGACCACTGAGAACTCTGGTTTTTACTGTAACCAATTTCTTAAACTAAACTGAAAGATTACTGATTTAAATTTTCTGTTCAGAAAGTAAATTTAGATCATCTCTTAAAAGGGAGGGTAGTATTTGTACTATTCCATAAAAGTGGGGTGTTTTTGGAACCCAGAAATAAATGTAGATAGAAGTTAATCAAAAGCCGAAAAAAACAAGCTGATTTGTTAAAGTCGTCAAACATCACTTTGGAGATTTAGAGCAGAATTGGTATGAACACCAGCAATAACAGTTCTCCCCCAGGCAAAGGGTTGAGAACCACTGTATCTCACAAACCAGAGATGTCTGCATCTTCACATTTGACACATATGGCCCGGAAATCTATGAAGTCAAACAGCCCTAGTACTGTGTACTTTGTTTTTTAAAGCTTTAGCATTTCCAGATGTTACACAGATTAATTTCTTGAACCCAAAAAATATTTTTAGAAAACTGAAAATATTTATTTCCTAAATGTCTTTAGATAGACAGATATAATACACTTTACCATACAATTAATATGTCATATCTGTTTTAACTAATAAAATCTTATTATGAAATCATCAGCACTTTAATATGGAAAATGAACAAACATGAACAAAGCATAACTTTACATTTACATTTGAATTTTTTCTTTTAGTGAGGAAATTATATCATTGCTTTACTAAAGTGTCAAAAACATGTTTTAAAGCACAAAATATCAAAGTAACCAACTTGATGAAACATACTGTATCCTCAAGCATTTCTAAGGTTCAGATTTAAGGTATGCTGCTGTTGGTAATCCTGAGAAAATAAACACTTTGGAGTAAACTGATCTCTTTATTTTCTGAATCTTCTAGCAAAAATACTCCGCTATATAATGCCTTTCATTCCATTCAATAAGTGTTAAGGCAATTTTGATTTAATTAATGATCATGGCAGAAAGTTTACCTTCAAACATGCATGCACAGATGTAATCTCTCTATATTTATTTAACCAATGATTTCATAAAACTGATGTCAAATGACTGAATCCTTGTTTCCACCAGTTTCAACTAGCAGACAGTAAAAAGCTTATAACACAATAAAATAAAAACTGGTTTAAACACAAATAAGTAAACATAAAAATGTTTTCCCTCATACAGTAATTGCATTTTTTCACTTTTTTAACAATTTCTAGCACTTTCACTCATCGTGATATGAGCGAATAGATGATTCCACATGGATATGAAAAAGCTCAATAGTGACATCCTGCTTTAGGAATGGCAACAGAGATTCCACGTGCTGTTATTCGTGTTCATTTTATTTCTGTTTGTTGCCACATACTAAATGAGGCATTTTAAGGGCAATTTAGAGTAATATAAAATACAAATTCAGTTGTGATCTTCTTATGGAAAGTGGTATTCAGTTTTTAAGGTTTCATAAAACACAAACCTCATCCATCTGCTTTCATAATGGACAATACATTTGTCCTATTATGTACTTTCTGGTAAAATACTAGGACACAGAAAAGGAAACTTTCCTAGTATAGATAAAGAAATCAGTACCAGGATAGCAGAGTTTCTTTCAGTATACTGTAGATAAAGGGGACTTAATTATCAAACATAGAAATGGGTTTTTGGGATTATCAAGGTGAAATATGCCACCTTTTCGTTCAAAGGGTGTAATAAACAGTGTCTTGTTTCTCCTTTGCTTTCTGTGAGGGACAAAGGTACAATATATAGATATGTTTGAGCACAGACAAATGATATACTGGATTATCCGCATAAAATGTATGTTTTCAGCAAAGCATTTACAATTTTAAAACACTATTAATACTATTTTTGGTATGATACTCCTGATTTGCCTCCAGAAAATGCTTTCATTAACATGCAAGATACGCGAGTTATTAGCCACCAAACACTCTTTTCAGTCATTAAAGAATGTATGTATCCAGGAACATCTGATACAAGTGTAGGTTTTATAGTGATTTTCCCTTGCAAAAGAAATGACTTGGTTTTCAGAAATCAGCTGTGATGCACCTCAGCTAGGTGATCAGTCCATTGCTCCTTTTCCTCCATTATGGCATTCTGCCATCCATTTTGTGGGGTGAAGGAATGTAACATCCCATGATTGATATGAGCAACCCAGATACACCTCAGCTACAATACTCAACCGAGTAAGACAGCTGTAAGATGTGTCTGACTTTGTTTTTCTGAATTGACAAACAGTGTTACAGGCTTTCAGTTTTGTTTTAACCCCATATTGAAAATATATTTGTTTGTATTACTTCATATATTAAAGTGTACATTACAATCCACAGCTGCTCCTTGTTCTCCAAACAGCTGTAGCCTTGTAACAAATTGACCTGCAAATGATGTCAGATCCTGAAATTGCTGGATTTATTAGGTGCCACAATAACAGAGTCAATGTGTCCTTTGTTGTGTGGCTTCTTTTGCTTTCATTAAAAGCTGAGTGCATTTAAGCTGCCCAAGGAAGAAACTTCCATCCTCTCTCCAAGCACAGTTGCCGGCCATGCTGGTACTCTGTGCTGAAGAGTGTGCTCCAGACAGATCCATTCAATTATCGCTGTCCTTGCGCAAGCTGCGATCAGGGTTGTGGTTGTTCGGGTCCTGGTTTTTGTACTGTATGCTTGTCCCATTCAAAGGCACCATACTGCTTATCAGATTCCCCGAATAGCGCCAGCAACAGAGACAGGACTGCAAGATAAAAGGATGAATCAAATATACACTTAAGAAACATAATTAAGCAATCGGTGAAGAGCTGAGAGCTACATTTTTGTGTGAGTTTAATTTACACTAGTTGGGTATACAGCATCAAGGGACTCACATGTGTAGTTGGTGTCAGGTTTGTTCAAAGCAAATCTTTGCTCAGTGAGAAAATGCTTTGCTGTCCATTGTGATTTCCATGTTTTCAGGCCTTACAAGGCATGTGCTTACAAATTCAATTATTTATTAATGGGCATATCAGCGGAAAATAGATCCAATGTATCGAACTGCTGGTACTGCATTAAATGACTATAGTGTCAACAGTGGAATGTGTCTTAGAGAGTTACCACCTAGTGCATGATGTTTCAATAGGGAGGTGGGTTATAGGGCTCTATTTATAGTGAAGATGTCAGTAAGGTTTATTTTCAGTCTGATCAGTTTCTAATCATGTAGTCAACTTCAAGCTCAATATTATCTTTGGAGAGGTCACTCCCCTGCAGCCCTGTTATCCTTCCACAGCTGTGCACTGTGAGATCTCATTGAACTTAATTTCAAAGCTCTGCAATCCAGCAGCGTGATGTTATGAAAAAAAAAACTTGTGTAATGGCTTCCAGTATTTATTCAGAAACAGAGGCATTAATACAGAAGCACTAAAAAAATGTCTATTGATTCATAATGGCTGTTTTAAAAATAAATATTATTTAACATCAGTACGTGTGAAATAGTGTTTACTTTGAAGCATAAACACAATGATATGTTCATTTGCCCAGCTTGATTATAATGTTCATAAATGTTTTTTGAGAAGTACTGGTCTATACACACTGTTTTGAAGGTACAGTAATATTCACTTTTTATGCAAAAGCTTAGTGGGATGATCTTCTAGAGAGGACTTTTCTTAAAATACGAAACTTGAATAAAATTGCATTTTGTACAGTGTTTGTTGTTATAAAGAAAACAATTCCACAGAACAGGATTGATTTTGTTATAAAGCAGAGGTTTAAAGTCACAGTGAGCATACAGTAGTTCATTTACATATGACAAATGAGACAAACTGGGCCCAACCAGCCCATTTGGTAGTTAGTAGCTATTTGATCCAAAGGACTCATTCTGCTATCCAAAAACATGGCTGGGCAGTTTCTTCCATTTTCACACAATCCTATTCCAAACTCCATACTCCCCTAACCCTCAAATTTGAGAACTACCATTATTTTGCTTTTGAATGGGACTGAAAAGTGTTTCTAATCTGTTTTTGCTGTATAATGGGCATGTACAGTACTGTAGTCTATTACAAATTAATAACAAAGCAGCCCAGGAGTCCTGTTTTAATTGATCTAACCTTATTGTTTAGCATGTCTCGAAATGGCATAAAAGGTGCTCTGAAGTTTTCTACCGCTGTAGTTTAAAAGGAATACACTTCTCCTGGGAAATGCTAATCTTTGAGCTTATAAAATGTGTTTTTTCTCGCCCACACGTCCACTGGTGGAATGTGTGGAGTTGGTGACCTCTTCTCAGATATGACATTATAAATCACTGAACAAGTTTACATTTTGTGAAAGGAATGTGTTAGTGTGGATATCATTTAAAATACAGTCACCCGTCAACAAGAAATCAATATTTATCTTCAGGAAAGGGTTGAACAAGCAGAGGAGAATGACCCACTGTATTTTAGAAAAAAACTACTTACTTTGAAACAATTTTTAAATTTCTTGCTCACCAAATACAGAATTATAGGGTTTATACAGGAGTTCACAGTTGCCAAATTAATGCCAGCATAGTCGAGTATCAATAGAAAGCTGAAACACAGAAGAGAAAGTACTATTAATGACAAAAAAATCCAAAATAGAAATATGAAGGGAATTATTTTCAAATATTGTATATTTAGTAGCATCAATCTCTTCTATTAGGTATATACTGTGTATATGTTTTGGGAGACACTATATAAGTACAAAAGTAAAAATTAGTTCAGGTGGGTAGCTGCGTCAGCATGTGTAGGCTGCAAAGGAACAAGTAAAAGAATACAAGTAATAAGAAAATACAATGTTTCGGCTGTGGAGCCTTCTTCGGGTGTCAAAATTACATTAATTACATGAAATTACATATTAAAAATTACATGATTTTAATGTATACCGTACTGAGTTCCAAATTGTTGTTTTTTTTTCAGAAGGTACTTTTTATATATAGGAAGCAATGTCCTTTGTGAATGAATTTCACAAACATAACATTTGATAAAATAATAATTCAAACATACTGTAGGTCTACTAAGATAATTACAAACAGGAGGAGGCCATTCAGCTCATTTAGCACATTTGGATAACAGGATGGCTAGGTAGATACTGCATACTCCCAAAGGTAGTTCTATACTCCCAAAACCCAAATCAAATACATTATGAAGTAAATCTACAGTGACAAAACTTACAATATATATAACTCCTAGGGTATCTAAAAGTAACAAAACATAAAATTAATTAAATGATCATTATTAAAAATCAATGAAAAAAAATTAAATGAATTCAAAAGTTTAATAAAACACAATTCAATCATCTATTTCTAATCTTACATAATTTGGGGGATTGATTATTCTTTCGTAGGTGTACAACATAGTCAGAAAGTAAAAACCCTATATGAGTATTCTGATTCCATTAACACTGCTTACTATGTCTCAGAACAACTATTTTAAAAATTGTCATAATAGAAGCAGCACTTACTTCAGCAGGTCACATCGTCCTTTGTCAGTGTCAATGTACACTGTTTTTTTTAATATCCTGCTTATGTGCAGTGGGAGCCAGCAAAGTGCAAAAATAAGAACTAGGCAAAATACGGCTTTGGCCACTTCACGCCTCTGCAGCCCATAGAAAACGAAAACATAGACAATTCAGTGAGAACACTTTTTTGTAGACATTAAAATATATAAAGTCAATACTGATATTACATATGGATTGGAAACATTTCGTATTGTTTTCTTCTTCATTATTATTACTATGAAGTGTATACAATGTTGTAGTTTATACAATGTATGATTGTCCAATGGTGGGATGTCCGAACAGCAAAATGGCAAATGCGAAGGATTCTTCTTATGGATCGAAAGCAAGAAAGGAAGCAATAAAATAACAGCTACAAAGGTGTCCTGTATGTCTGTTCTGTTAGAGGAAACCTTTCGGATACTGTTTGTCCTTCCACGTCCATTGTCATTTCAGTTCAACATGCATTGTAATTAGCAGTGGTAACTGCTGGAGGACATACCTGTTTGAGATGTTCGCTCAGGACGATTCTCAGACTCCCATTCCTGTGGTTCAGCATCTCACACGTCATGAGAGTGTAGAAAAAGGCTGTGCAGGCCAGAGGCACACAAAAGTAGAATCCAAAGAGCCACCAGTCCTTCACGTTCACATAGGTCTGCAGAAGCAAATTAAGACGTTGAGATCTGCAAGATCTTCTCTGAATACTGGAAACAGTTTATGTTTTTTAGTTTGAAAAGCAAAATGAAATCTAAACTGCTTCTTCTGGAGATGCAAATATGCTGTTGGAGACATTAAGTATGAGTACTCTGTATCCAAACAGAGCATTGGTGAACACTGAGTCTTCATGTGCAGAGCAATCAAATTCCATCCTTGGAGGAGCAGATGGATTTGGGGCATTTTTTGTTTGGCTCAAGCAAATAGAACACACGGAAATTCCACCAATGATTCTTTATCCATGTTTGTTTAACTAAATTAATCTCAAAGTTCTGGATGTGATGTTTCCTATCAAACTAATTAAATCAAGATTACAATACGCACAGGAGGCCTGCAAGTCCACAGAAAGGGAAAACAATTTGAATGAAAAGTGCATTCATTTAGCAGGTACAATAACATGTAGGCTATTAGATTTTAAATACATAACCTGCAACATTTTGTGTTTAGACTACAACATGGTACCCATCAATATTTCATCTACTTTAGGAGATTTTGTTCGTCTACCGAGCTGGTATACTGTACAGTATATCAAATTCTAAGTACAGTATGTTTCCTTTGTATTTTAAATTGTTAAGGCAGTATTATTCATGATTTTTAACAGATAGCAAATGGCGTGCTATCTCTGAACATATGGGTCTGCTTTGCAAATGTGTACATTAGTGAGTATAGTGACTGCAGTCTCTCAGTCTGTCTTCAATTACCATGAGTTTGCCAGTAAAACAATGATTTTGTTTTTTTAAAAAAAACAACATTCATGTCTTTTCACATGTTATACAGGACCATTTTCATTGTGTTGACATTTTAAAATTAGCTGTGCTATGGGTGCTATTTATAAAAACAGGAGGTTACGAGGCACTTTCCCAAAAGTGTAATTAATCCTCTAAATCCTGCTGTCCTGACTGAATTCTACTCCACCTTGTACAAGCTGGCCTTCCTAAAGTTCCTCCTTGTTTAAATTGGTAAAACATGTTTCCCATATCTGTTGTGTAGTAGGGCTGCTGGCCCATAATATCTGCCAGAAGTCATCCAAGTGGGCACTGTACTTCAGGGTTGGATGATGTTGGTTCCTTCCTGTATATAAAGAACCCTAGGATGTGAAACTATATTGTGATGAGTGGGATGTGCAACTAATTATTATTTTTTAATTATTAAATTCACTGAAATTAATATTAAGACTATACATCTGAAACTCAATTAAAACTAATTTAAATGATTCATTGCTGATAAAAACTCTTCTTTCAATATACCAATGACAACATGTTAATATAATTAATACATGTTTTTTAGGATGTTTTCTGAGCACATATTTGTAGTTATAATCCTTTTTGTTTAGATTTACCTCAGACTTCAGGAATTTATAGTACTTCATAGTTTTACATTATAACTGTATAAAATCTAAATGGTCTCCTAATTATATTTTCATTGTTTCTGTCTTTTGAACAGTATCATTACAATTCTTCCCAATTTACTGGTGCTGCTGTTCTTCCGAGTGATCTTTTATTTACCATAAAAAGGCATAAAAGGCTTTAGAGATGCTGTTTAATGTGCATGGCTTTACATTAAGAGCCTATTGCTACTTCAAAACCAGAAAAAAAAGACTTTTTGTAAAAGAGGGCAATCAACAGTACAAAGGTACAAACCCCCAAGATGAATGTCAAGTTATAGTTTTTTAACAATGAGGTTTGACGTCTTTTTCCTTTTTCATATGCAATTTCTGTACTTGCGAGCATGGGTACATTCCTGAATACTGCTGACAATTTCCTTATATTAGCTGAATGCTATTTCAGGAAGGTGAGAATTCATTTTTCATTTTAAATCCACGTGGGAATAGCTGTAAAGGATGTAGGGAGGGCATAAATTCAATTGAAACTGATCCTTCAAACTTAAAGCAAAGCTGTTGCTCAAATTTATTACAGTAGGTTAATGCTGCCAAAAAACAGATAAAACAAAGGCCTTAACTGAAATCATATACTGTACGAACTTACCACCAATTCAATTCTTCTTCAAATGTTTGTAGCACTTATAGACAGTATATTTATGAACACTTTTGATAATCTGTAGATTATTCTTAATAAAGCAGCTCTTTCTGTATGAAATAATAGCCCTTCTGTGTATGTTCATTTTATAGTTTTTTTAAACATAAATATGATTAAGAAGTACACATTTCTGACACTACTCCAAAGCAAGTTTATTAACTAGCTAAACAAATAATGTAAATTCCCTTTTATTGTAACATTTTATGTGTTGAAAAATGTTCAGAACTCTATTTGAATAGTGTTGCCAAGTCTTGACTGAAAAATAAAAATTTAAGCTTATTAATTTTACAGCAGTTTCTTTAGGAGAGTGCCACATTATTTTATAGCATGTTGTGAATTTAAATCTGAACCAAACTTTATGACAGCTCAAACAATTCAATCAAAAATACAGAGGGAAGTATGTGCCTTTTAATAATTGTAGATTAATGAATCTGTTTTACCATCATTAGAGTGGATTTTGGGCTCAGCATGCAAGTTGAGATTGACATGTTTTTGTATTCAAAGTGGACCATGTCAAAGACGATAGCCTCAGGCACAGCCAGGGTGATTGATATGACCCATATGGAGATGATTTCTATAGCTGTCCGCAGTGGAATCCCAGCTCCCTGGACTCGACTCCATGAGGCCACAGCCCTGTACCTGCAACACAGAATAGATCTCTCAAAAACAGCCTTGCAATGACCTGTGCACTCTTTCACTGACACAAGATCCTTTACTCTCAATGAGTTATTTCTTAAGTAAGTAGGAAGTAAAACAGCACAGAATGTGGTTAATAAATTCTTAGCTTCAAACAGAATCATTTCCCTGTCAATTCTATTATTACAAACTGTGTATTAACGTCCAGACAATATTTTTCTTAATCTTACTACAATTTATTTTTCTTTCAATGTGATGGTTGACCCCTTCATATACAGAACCCACTCAATTGTACTTAATAAAAACTTTGATCACTTTTATAAATAGAATTTACAATATTGATCTGTTTTTTGGTGACTTGTTCACAAGGTTTACAAAACAGCAGACCAGAAATTAATGTTCTTCCCTTTGATTCTCAAGATCTGCTGAATGGCTTTACAGGCGGCAAAAGACACAGAGGAAAACTATCACCAGAAATGAAAAGATTTGCACTTTCTTTGAACCATTTGTATTTGCAGTGTATTTGTAATTCCCCACTGCAGTGAAAATGTCCTCTCAGAGTGATATATATTTGTTGAATTTGCTGATCAAGAGCATTAGTCTCTTTCCTTTGTTTTATGAGATTATCACAACTAAAAGTGCTCTTTATAGAGATTATTCAGGCAGCAAATTTACTGCAGCTTGTTAAAGTTGACCCAGTGTTTTTGTTTTTTAAATGAAAGGTCAGAGGAAGGGCACGTTTCCTTAGGTTTTGATTAACAACATATTTTTGAGGTAGACCTGAAAGGTTCTTTTGTGACTAAGAATATCCTTGAGGCACTACGCAAGCACATGACCAGAAAAACAGCTCATCTTGGTGCAGAGCACAACAAAGTTAAATAATATTAAAATAATTAAAATCTCCCTCCTGGATCTCTTTACAGAAACTCCCAATGTATTGTTTTTGCCAAGATTGGTCTTTCAACTTCACTTTCTTGTTACATCTATGGAACTTGTTAGTTTAACCTAATGATACTTCATTAGAAATGTCCAGGTAACAATTTATAATGTGATGGTTAAAAGGGTAAAGAAAGAGTTTTGAGACCACTTTTTAAGGTACATTACAGACATTACAGCAGTGAACACTAGAAAACAGTAAGACGCTAAGATTGCATATCTAACCTTTTTTTTATAGTGCTTGGAATGAAGCTCATCACAAAAATACTACAATAGAAAAAATATTTTTTTTCTTGTTCTACAGCTTCCTACAGCTGTACAACATTCTTAATAAACTGAGGTCACACTGGACTGTCTTCACACTTACACAGCTTCTTCCTTAACGCCTAGTATTTTATATTAAAAAGGAGACAGTTAATGTCAGCATTTCATAAAATATGAAAAAAGGAGACAGTAATCAGTTCAGGTCCGCAAAGACTTCAGTGGAAGTGAATGAATGACATTGTTCGAGGTCTAGCATCTCTGTACGATATACTTCACTTGGAGTCAGCCATTTCTCTTCACAGCTCTGCTCTGTCTCTTGTGCACATCAGATTAACATTTAACCACATGTCATAAACTGCATCACTGTTGTTTTCATAAACGTATTTTGCATAAATATTTAGTCCCTACATTAAACACTGCATGGTCTTTACTGTTTACATCCCTGTACACAAACTGCTTGTGTTTTTAATTACAAAACCAACAACAACAAAACTACAAAAATCAAGGAACTTAGAAGCAATGAAACATCACGTAATCAGTTTACTTCTGACTCCAATAATATGGAATGTTCTTTGCTCCAACTAAAATATCCAACTAGAAACTATATTACTTATCTTAAGGACAAAAGCCTTTAGCTTATTAGTTTATCTTTCAACCCAGAGGCAAACATTTCCACATTAAGTCAAAAGTCTTTTATTTAATTTATTCTTATGTATCCCAAACTTTAAATATTTATTATCAAAATTAGTTATGCAGTGTGCATATGGGTAGTCATGGATTTTCCAGACAGTACCAATTTTGAGGTGATGGGGGGCTCTGAATTAAAAAGTCAATGTGTAGAAAACAATATACCTGTTTATGTAATCCTTCCTATATACTGTATAGTATTTTACAACTTTTAATTTTGTGTATAAGAATATTACACATAAAATATTCTTATATTTATATATATGGAAAGAGTTCTGTACGTCAGTTACATCTACTACAGTTTGTTTACTAAGTAAAACTGCATTACTTAGGTACTGGGCGATTATTATATATAGCTATAATACTATAATATTTATATACAGTAGCTACTTTCAAACACAGTTTTGTAATTCATTTTATATTTCTATGTCCTGTCTGAAAATAGGTGTTTGTTGTAGTTTATTGTGAAATACAGCTGTACATTTGCAAGTTTGGGCAGAACTACTGAGTTGTGAATATGCTGTTGCTTTATTGTGAAGCATTTCTAGTAGTTTGGGAATCACAGATGGGTACAGTTAGAGTCTGACATTGATTTGACCACAAATACTATTTATATTCTACCAGATGTGAAATATCCAGGGCATCTAAAAGCTCAAAGGGGAGTAAGGATGAATACCTGTCAACACTGAGGGCACATAGGTTTAAGCCAGTGATCCCCACTGAGGCCTTCTGGAGGAAGGGGAACAGTTTGCAGAGGAAAAGGCCCATTGGAGAGTCATCAAAAGGCCACCGGTGTGCCAAAATCTGAGGGTAGAACAGAGCAATATTACCATAAAAAAACAAAGGCAAGTTGAAAATGTCTGCACGTGCTTCTAAGATCTGGGTAGAGGAAAAATGATTAAGTGAGGAAGAAAAAATAAAAAACAACAACATTGGTTTCATGGTCATCTTTGGGTTCAAAATACTGCATGTGTCTTGGGGAACAATCAACCACTCATCCTTGAAGATTTAGATCAGGGGTCCCTAGTCCCGATCCTGGAGGCCAGATGTGTCTGCCGTTTTGATTAAAGCACTTCCTTCTGAAGAGATCCAATGAAGCCAGCAATGAGCTGAAACTCAAAGACACCCTGAAAACCTATTGACACACATGGCCTCCAGGACCAGAACAGGGGATTCTGATTTAGCTCCTTCAGCTACAGAGAGTCCTATACTGGAGACTAAAGGTTTGAGAATGGCTGAAATTGAGAAAAAAATGTTATCATTAGCAAAGAGAAACTGTATCTCATTTCCAGTAAGGACTCACGTATCAGTACAGCTTACAGCTGTTGCATCATACAAGTCAGAAGCCACCTTCAGCTGATTAAAAGAAAGTTATTTTCAGTTCTGTCTGAAGCACTCAATTGTGGGTGACCCTTTCTGTTTGATAACATGGATGATAACTTTCTAACAAATTCCCCAGTTCCCCAAAGGAAATTTTGCTCTCTTAGGTTTGGTAGGTAATTAAAAAAAAGTGTTTAACTTTTTTAAGTGCAACCATTCAAGGGTAAGAAGACTGCAAAGTAATAAAATGCTATTACTGCTTATGGTAATAATGGAGAAAGAATCTGTTACTGCTTTCACATTCTCAATAAATTGCTGGTGTTATTCTTCTTGGAAACAATTACACAGCTATTAAATGCGTGCAAGAATTGATGCTGTGAGTCTGTAGACATTGAAGAATTGTTTCCGCAGAACCATCCATGACTAATTACAATTATTCTCCTCCTCCTGAAGGCACTAACGTCTGTCCTGAGGGGAAAACATGTTCCTTTTCCTCCTGGACTCTGTTTCATCAGTCCTGGTCTGGCAGTGTTCCTTTCTCCGGGATTGCCTTTGGCCATCACATTCTGGGGTGATATCTGGCAACTCACTGTGGCCTGTCAAGGAAATGTTTCAGTGGTGCATCCTGTGTTTATGTTTCCACAAAGCATGTGGTTTAATTAGAAGTGTGTAGGACAATGGAAGAGGGGAAAAGTAGTGGCATCAATTGTATTGCTACATTCTTTACAAAGTGATCCACTTTCAGTAACATCAAATGCTTGTGATGCATGTACTGTAGCAGTAAAATGACTTTATTTTCGAATCTCAGAAAAGTTCATTTTAAAATCCCTTCAGAAAAACGCTGTTCAAAAGTACTGTTTTCAACTGCTATGTTTAATAACAGTAAACCATCAACAAAACATTAAAATGGAAAGTATGGCAAGTTCTTTTGATATATTCTGCAAAAAATAAATGTATTCTCTTATCTTGAAGTAAATTCACTTTACTGATTTCATTTTTAATTTAACTTTTAAAATACTGAATGCCCTGTCAAAACAGAATGCTTAATATATACTGAATAAAGTAAAACAACAACTGTAAGACATATCAGTACGCTTAGAAATACTCTTGCTAAAATAAGAATTGTAGAAGACATGGCACCTTCCATGCCATGATTTATGCATGCATTCAATGAGCTGAATAATTTTGTAAAGTTTGTGGAAAATTCATTTTAAATGGCTAACCTCTCTCTTGAAAGATTATTCAATCGTTCTTGTCAGACTCAAGTGGTAGAATGAATATTTTGTTTCATGCTTTTTGTTTCTAGTAGAGTAGGGCTCTTTAATTGCCTTTGGCCAGATTCCTCCATAGCCCAATGTTCTGAACAAACTGCTATTAATGCAGGGTTTCCCAACATAAACCACAGATGTGAATTGCATTCTGTCAGAAAATCACTGTTACTACTCATGGAGTTGTACAGTATATTCTTTAGATTTCTGATAGTAGTTTTAAAAGTGTACAACCAAAATTCATTTTGAATTACAAACTTAATACAAGCACTACGTAAATCTCTAACGGGATGTGTTATAATTTGTTCAGGTTCACATGTTGGATGAAAATATTTTTACATGACGTTTGTTAACAGGATAAAAAAGATTTGAAATTAACAAAGACCACTCAAATTGTTATTTGTAAGGTAAGATAAAAAAGGTAAAAGAAAATGTACTGTACAAAGACCTCTGGTTATTAAACAAAAACAAAATAGAACACAGCAAATGTGTGCTATTGTATAAACAGCATTATCTATGTAGTAAGAAAACCCATTGCAATGGTATATTTTGTTGTAGATAAATTGCATCCTGATTTTTTGTTTTATGGTTTAAGAAAGAGATTGTTATGAAACATCCATCTTTAAATGGCTGATTTGAAGAGTTGAAGACCTGTGTTTTAGGTGGAATTAAACTGATTTGTTTTATTCATTTTTTGGTCACTAAAAAATAAAACCTCGAGTCAAACCAATAATTATTATAATTTATATAAAAATAATATGCTATGTATAATTATAATTACAATTATATTCAAAAGATATTCTAAATAACACAAAATACAGTAATATCTGACATAAATTATTTACTAGATTCCATATTAAACAAAAGGACAAAAAAACTTTGTAAATACTTTTTTTTCAATGTATAGGTGTAAATAAAATAGAAAAAAAGGAACATAACTCAGTAGGTAACATTTGCATCCCAATTCAAATGTTTGTCTGTCTTTCCCCCTAATAATTTTAAAATTGATTCACAATAAAAGTTTTATACATTTTATTATCTTGATTGAAAGTTAGACTATAAACTGTACAATGGGCTTCAAACTGGTATCTCATATCACTAATAAATTAAATAAATGAACAACAGTTGTATACTGTATGTGTCATCAGAGTGGATGTATCAAGACACTTAGGAGTACATTACGTATTGTATACAGTATAAAGGCTGTCTATCTATGTGCAAAAAATTGACTTACTGTACTGTACAATATATTAATAAAATTCCATCATAGCTAGATGAAAGTACTGGCCTGTTTTGAGGCTGGTATAATGATATGCTCTGGAGACATTTTTATGAGGAGCAACAGACAGTGAGCTAATTACATAAGAGCACACTGGGGACCTTTTACGGTTCAAAATTAATTTTCTGTTTATTTCAGGTCTCAGGTATGGGACAGAGAAAGCAAAACAAGAGAAAAACAATAAGTTAAACAGGGTGGATGTATTAAATGTTTAAAGATCTTTTTACACATTTTTTAAATGGGTATTTCAAGGACATGCTGTCAACATTTTACAGATGTGTAAATTGTCACTGTTCTTGTGCACTGTACATAGCTGGTTTCCAGCCCAGGATGTACCTGTAGCAGAGATAAGCACTCAGGATCATGACTGGACATATGTTGGCCTGCCTTCAGCTGTCTTTCCTTTCTCTTTTGTTTTCTGTCTCTCGGATCCACACCTTACACACCGCCCTTGACTGTGTTAACTATAGGGCAGCAAGAGGACCTTAAAAAAAAGAGAGGAGTACCTTTCATAATGTGTAATTATTTATGTAGATGAAGCCGACACCATAAAAACAGTCAATACCCACAGTAACTGTCCTATTGGCCTACCCCCAATCTTTAACCCAACTATTCCATTTTTTTAAATGTATATTTTCTCTTGTCTCTCATATCTGAAGAAGTATTAGCTCGTCTTATCACAACACATTGGGGGTACTGTCACGGATGTTGGAAGGGACGAACCGTGGAATGACAGGAGAGTGAAAAAAGATCCTGTGTAGCGGTGGAATGGGGGGTTAGCCTAGGCTCAGCTGTTCAGGAAATGCCATATAGAAACCTATGCCCTCAGGCACACAGGATTATTCCAATTCAACCCTCAACCTTTGACTGGTCCCTACATTCTTCTCACTGCAAGACTTAGTGAGAGTAGCACTACAATTTGTCTCATCAGCTGATTTATTTTGACATTTTTTTCAATGTTACTGAACAGGCTTAGTGACTGTGGTCTTAAAACAGAGAGAAAATCTGAAATGTTTTCACAATTATCTCCAATTATCTAATCAAATTCAAGATCAAGTGCAGTACAGTATGTGCTAGTTTAACTTACTGCTACCCATCCATGACAAAAAGAATTCTGCAAAGCTCTATATTGCGGTCACAATTCTCACTCTCATCTCCATCCACAGTAACAGCTTCAGTCCAGGAGCATACATTTCTTTAATTAATGTTTAAGAGATAACTTGATCGTATGCTCTGTAGGATCTTGTAGGGCTTTTGTAATACATAACCTGCAGTTACATCTTGACTAAGAAACTATTGTCTTCGAGTGAAACAAAATAACTGTTTGGAAATATTTAGATATCTGTCTGTGATGCACAATGCCCTGTTTTTTTCCCACACTCCAAAAATATACTGATAGGTTAACTGGTGTCTGGGACAATGGCTCTTGGTGTGAGTGTGTGTGTCTGCGTTTGCCTTTCTCCCTCACGATGGGCTAGCTTCCTGTCCAGGGTGTATTCTGTCTTGCACTCTTTGCTTGCTGGGATAGGTGTTGGCTCACCCACAACCTTGAGTTGAAAGAAGGGGTTACAAAATGGATGGATAGAGATGTTAATTATAACATTGTAGCTAAAATCATACTAAGGAAGCACAATGGTCTACACAACTCTGCTGCAAGATTTGTAACCAGACCTTAGTACAGTAATCTGGTTAATAAACATCTGGCTGATGCTTCTATCCATTTTCACATCTATTTCTAGGTGGATATTTAAATAGAACAATCTTAGTACCTTGCTCAAGGATTCAGTAGTATTCATATGCCTGAGATTTGAACCCAAAACTTTCCACTTACAAGTCTAGAAGCCTGAACACTACTGTTTTATGTTAGATGTCCTTACTGTACATCTTCGTTAAGTGGCCTCCTCTTCATACAAGGAGACTGAAAAACTGATTTATTATCTGTGACATACTAATTGGGAAAACCCTTCTTTACTTGCACAACTTATTTCTCTCATAAAGTTTGACAGCAACTGAGCTAATTAAATTAGTTTTTGGCTTTTGGTCGTCGTTCTTTTCAGTTTGCAGCAGACTGGAATTCGTTATAGAAAAAAACATGAACCTAGACCAATTTCCCTTTGCAGATGCTTTTAGCCATTTGCTTGCCACAGTGCTGGTTGACATCTGTAACTGCAATACTTGTTTCATAGATGTTTTATTTATTTATACTCATTTTATTTATTTATTTATTTTTCTTTGGACTTTTATTGTGTTGAGGTTTTGTTAATAGCCTTTTTTAATGTAGTGGGACTCCCATGTATTTTCTTCACTAATGTTTAGTGATAAAATTCTGATTTATCTGTCTAATTCTGATATGAAAATAGGCTGTTCTATTCACATGTACCTTTTACACTCCTTGCTACTGTATGTCTTGAGAATAAAATTATATAAAGCTGACAACATATGCAAGTATAATCAGATATGTGCACTTGGGAGTCTTCATGTGGAAAAGTGTTACAGTATGTGCACTCATAAGGGCACAGAGGTTAGCTGGCTCAATGAAAGAAAGAAGGAATGAATGCTGGGAACAGAGCAATCAAAAACACTGCAGCATGAAGTCACTAAGGGCAGGAATTCCCAGTCCTTGTCCTGGATGACCTGTGTGTCTACAGGTTTTCAGTATAGCTGGACTTCTTATGGCCTTATGCAGGTCATTATTGGCTCAATTGCACCAGTTAAACAGCTTCTCCCAGCTCTTTAGGTGGTAATGCTTTAAGGAGACCTGCAGAAACATCTGGCCTCCAGGACCAAGACTGGGAATCACTGCACTAGTGGTGGTACCATCAACTGACAGGAAACACTTGCCATTTGCCCAGATATGTTGTAAGTGTTTAACCACTTGCTTCCGTGCAGCAACAATCACAGCATCCATACTGAACATTACTGGGCTATAGTACTGAAGATATCAGCAAAGAAAGACATTTTGCATGTGTCAGAAATCTATCTGCCATTTGGCGAGGGCAGAGGCTGTGAATACAAGAAAAAAACATCATGTTTGCAAAGGTCTGTTAAGGGAAATATTTTGTTCACAAAGTGGTAGGGGACCAATAATGCCAGCTTTTGGATTCATCTTGCTTTTTATTTTGTCACACACTGCACAAATCTGAAACATATGTCAGGGTAACTTAATCAAGCAATTCCTAACAAACAACAGCTTTTGGTCTTCTGACATTGTTTGTATTGTTGATGCTATATGCCGTCTAGTGAAACTGCTATAAATTGACATCAGAATGAGAAAATCGCATTTAGTTACATATGATTCAAAGCTAAACCCTGAAACAAAACCAAAGGGGATATCGCATTTCAGTTCTTTTTTTCATACATCAATCCCCTTTATATAATTTTGGAGCACTGTTCATTTAAGTGCACTTTGGTCAACCCATTGGTAAATCTACACCATTCCAATGTAGTTTTTTAATATTTCAGCAGTATTTCATGCCAACATGTCCTGCACTGGTCCACTATACCACCAGAGTTTGAATCAACTTAATAGCTGGACGGATGCATTCATCAATGCCACTGTAATGCCACTGTAATGCCACTGACGTCAGTTGCATTACAGATAGAAGGCAGAACTTCTCAGTTGTCTGTGTTCAGTGTTTCTACCAGTCCTCTCCATGCCCTTTGCCTGTTTGTTTCTGGTTGTATGGTGGACATTCCCAGTACTAAACACTTACCTAGTGGCTCCTTGACTTGAGTGGGTAATTTGGCCCAAACCTCACATATATTTTATGAAGCTCTTGCTAGAAAAGTTTTTACTAGCAATCAAATTATGTCATAGCCAAAACATACAGAATAAACCCAACATTATCCGTCTGATATTTAATTTGACTCTGGAGTTGTTTCAGTATGGATACTGAGCCATTCTGAGCCATCAGGACCCATTTAAAAATCCAATTGGTGTATTAGAAACGTAGTTAATGGCCAAACTGCCTATTAAAAATGAGGAGAGGATGCGGGAATTACTATCCCAAATAAGCTGGGATAACATTATGGAAGAATGTAATGAATTCCTACCTTATAGACATGGATGGGGATGTCAATGGCAATGTAGATAAGATCCCCTAGTGCCAGGCTGGCAATCAGTGCATTGGGCCCATTCCTCATGCATTTGTTCTGGTAGATAATCCTTAGAAGGGTGGCATTCCCAACCATGCCAATGACAAAAATGCAGCAAGATATCACAGTGGTGATGTACTGGAAATAACCTTGGATTTTGGTTTGTGAACTGCACATGGGCGGTCTTCTGGGAACACTGTCATTCCACTTTTGTAATATTGTAGAACAGTTACTGAAAGGGGCTGCGTTGGGGCTCTGGGAGCTCGGCGGAAGAGCGGTCAACAGAAAGTTCTCCACCTTGGCGGCTCCTGAAGACACATTGGCAACATCTGCCTGACATGTTCCAAAACCCACAGCACAGATAGCCACAAACAACACGCTGAACTTAGATTCCATCCTTGTTAATGAAGAGTGACCCAATGGGAATTCAAAGTCCTCTGGTAAAATGACCTGAATGAAATTAGAAAAACAACATATAAATGACAGTTTTCTAAACTGAATACAATTATACTTAATGCAAACATATTTAACACTCAGTTTCTTAGTAAGCAAATAGCACAAACCACCAGTATTTATAAACATTAGCTGAAATTCAAATAGATGTGTTTGCCAACATGTAGAACAACCAAGTTAAAATAAATATTTGAGGGAGGAGCTGCAAAGGAACTTGCCTTCTTAAAGCAAGAAGTATCTTCTGTTCTAATTTTCAGGTTATTCCTTAAAATAATTTTTAACTTTGAAACTTTTTAAACTATAACGTTTAAACTATAAAACTGATATTTGTGTGCTACAGATCTTTACTGTAAATATACTGTACTGTACAACTCATTGAAAAACTTCAAAATTGTTGCTTGTAGAAGTGATCTGTCGTATATTCACTAATAATGTGATCATCTTTAAATGCAATGTATGATTAACAAAATAGTTATGATAGGACTGTCATTGTTCAATATTACAGTTCTAAAAATGCTGTAGACCTCCTGTATATCTATCCTGTCTTATTTGTCAGATAATGGAGAGTGTTTTTTTAGAAACTATCAGGCAGCTTGTAGCACATGTTAAACTCTTCTTAATGCAGAAAAACTGTCATACTTCAGTGTTGTTTTATTTTGTTTTGAAAGGAGAGTTCTTAAAAAAAATATTGATAAAATGGAATGCTAGCACATTACTTTATTTGAGACCAATTCCTAATTCAATATTTAATCATATCTACCATAATTAAGTAAAACTTTAAAATAATGTAATTTACTGTATTCTCTTTGATAAAAATGTCTCATTTTGAACTTTCCTTCATTTTGATCTTTCCTGACTTTTTTAGTCTGAGTGGTCCAGTTACTGCCTGTTTTGTGTTTGATTGTTTGGACAAAAGAAGGATACTTCTTCATTGTTGTTTTGCAAAAACATCCCTCGCTCAGTTTTCATTAGTGTGGTTTTCCTTGATCTCCATTTCCTTTCTGTTTCTGATTTTAGAACAGCGACAGTAATTTCGCAATCCTGTGTTTTGGGATCTCTGAAAAATACCTTGTTTGGTTATGAGAAAAGGAGAAATTATATACTTTAAATATTGAACATCTTAAATATATTTTAAATATTTTCCTACAGTACATAGTGTTTCCCGTGGTTTTAGTTTAATATAGAGTAAGTGTTCTGTACTATGTTGACCCATAGGGTGCCATAATAAATACTTTTAAGGAATGTTATAGTGGTTTAATTATGTTCCAGTACAGAAAAGTGAAAAAAACACGGAGTGAAACTATAGAAAACTATAGTAACAGTGAGGTAAAACCAGATAACTAGGGCAAAAAATATTTTAAAGAGAATAGGAATGTATTTTTGTAAAACCACCTGAATATCATTCTATATAAAAGCTCTCATTCTTCTAAAAAAATAGTGCCAATGAAACAGTACTGTAGGCCAAATAACTGACCTAGTGTTCTTCAAATAAAATAATTTCTCCTTCCTATTATATATACTTATTTAACAATAAAGGAGGTCTTGCTTTCAATCGGTTATTACAAGGTTGAGGAAATGTACGTCAAATAAAGTATTCAGCTGTGCTAACTTTTCAAAAGTACAGAATAAATCACTTTATCAGAGTAAGGCTTGCTCTTAACTTTCTTACAGAGACTTTAATCTTTAGCAGACCATTATGCAATAGGTCAATAAATCCCAATAATGTCTTGAAAACCTTATCATGTCTCTGCCCTGATTTGAAATTAAAATTCTGCCTCCTGAACAAGGTCCCTGCTGCTGTCTAGTACACAAAGAACTATTTAGCTGACAGCCCTTCATCTAGCATCACAGTTTAGGATCACTGTAACGTAAATGGGCTCTGTGACAGAAATAAAACTGATATATTTATAAATAATAAATGCATTTGGTTTTCACCTACCGTTCGTAAAATGTTCTTTTCCCCTTGGAACCATCTAATGAAGTTTCACTTAGGCCCCCAGACATCTGTATCACATCACAAGAGTAATTAACAGAGTATCAAAGTATAGAAGTATCCCACTTGGTTTGTATGTCTGCTGTGAGGTGCTGAATATTGTGTCTCAGGGTTTTCCTGTGGAGAGTTAGTTTTTTTTTTCACCTCAGAGTCTGTCTGAAAGGCAGCAGAGCATTTTGACTGGGTGGGATTGAAAATCTCCACCTCCTTCAAGTAACAGCTTGGGCCCCCAAAGGAAACACCAGCTCCAACTGCACTGCCTGCTGACAGTCATCTCAAAGCACAGGCTCACAGGCATCTGGGAACACAGAGTTCCTAATCTGTTTCCCTCTCAAGATCGTGCCCCTGTGCAACAATTTCCTTTGCTAAAAGCTTCAAAGATAAAATCTAAAAATATAATAAAACAGAAACAGTTCCATGCCCACTTTTCCTTCCTTTGCCATACTGGTTGCAAAAAAAAGGAGTACCCATGGAAAATATAAAATAAATGATTGCTAGTTCAAATTCTGAAAAGCGCATTTTTTTATCTTGATGTTGCACTGCAATCGGACGTCAATTGGAATTAATCGGATATCAGCAAAGTTGTGAAACTGTTACAGCGAACCAATTGATATCAACATTCTTCCATTGCCTCTGGGAGACTTAATGTGAGATTAAAGTGAAATTGCTGCAAAGATGGTGTAGGAGGAACACTTAATGACCACTGTGCAAACCACACTGCTGCTTTCCCCAGAATGAATAAAGATAATGTCAGACTGTAGCTGTCCACCTCGCAGATACCATTCCTTTTCTGAAACAAACCTTAAATACAAACTGTTTTCTGTACCATTCACATGAATAAGTAACATACTCTATAAACACAAGTTTGCTTCTTCTTAATAAAATAGAATTGTAACTGTTTTCTGTTAAAAAATGTTTTAAAATGTACACTATATTGTTAGAGTAGCCACTACAGATATGCTATAGAAGCATAAATGTTATGGAAGTACTAAGCGCTTTTTATACAGTATAGACACATACAGTTCATTTTCTCTATTTTTTCATAGATTATCAGAAATGATCTAGATGTACCAGTTAGGAGGGAAGTGTAGAAAGATAGAATAATAAATCCATCCATCCATTTACTAACCACTTCCCAATCCAGGGTCGCAGTGTAGCTAGAACCTATCCAGGCATGCAATGGGTAGAAGACATTGTACACCCTGGATGGGTCACCAGTCCATCTCAGACAGACACACACACACTTACACCAGGGCTGGTTTTCCCAGAAGCCAGTTCACCTACCAGTATGTCTTTGAACTGTGGGAGGAAACCAGAGCACCCAGAGAAAACCCATACAAACACGGGGTTTTTGCATGGGGTTTTTTGTATGCACAATCTCCATGCAGATAGTGGATAGCAGATACTGTAGGTCCAGAACTGAACCCATGGCCCCAGCACTGTGAGGTAGAAAGGCTAACCACTGCATAACTGTGCTACCCAGAATAATAAATCAAAATGTAAGAAAAAATGTCTATTGAGCACACGTTCTGTTGGTAAGCTCTTCTCTACGAATACAGTTTCACATGAAAAAAATAGTAAGCAAGACATTTATAGCTTACCATTAATATGTACTGTTCATTAATACAACATGCAAGCTATCTACCCTTATACAGCAGAAGAACGCTGAAGATGTTAGAAGCTCACATAACTAATATAAATATTTGCTCCTCAGACATATCTTCCTGAATAAATGAATGTTTTCAATATCCTGTACTTACCAGTATCAAACAAATCCTCATCACATGTCGTTACCAGAAGGTAATGAACAGCACCATTTCAAACACAACTGTAAAAATGCTAAAGCGACATACTGCAATTACCTGTGTTGCTATGTTCAGCTCATAGATGAAGTTTAAAACAAAATGGATAATAAAACACTTTCAAAAATAAGATAATTTGGTGCTGCAATTAATTAAATCAACATTTGGTGCATTTAAAAAGAAAAAAGCAGACATTTAAGATGACACACATTTCCAGACATACTGTACGTGTGCCCCAGTGTTACAACACTGAAGTTTAACCACAATGGAAATTACTCAGATATGTTCAAGCTGCTGCTTGTTCAACGTTCTAGGGCTGGCTTTAATTAAAAGCATTACGTGCGTAAGAAGCTATTGTAACATGACATGAATAACCTTAAATACTATATAACTCGGGCCTGAAAAGGAGCATTGGCAATGCATTCAGGAACTCAACAGAACTATGCTGATTACAACATATTATTAGAGTACTCAGAGACATGAGTGAAAACCATGTACACATTATAGAGATGTACAAAAACACTTCTCATCATTGTCCTGCATTATTTCAAATCCCTTGATAGCCATTCATTGCAGACAATCCCTTGTTTCCTAATAAAATCTGCTTTCTGGCTGAGTGGTGTGTAAGGGCTCACACCAAAACCAGAAGTAGTCTGGACTTTATGATAATTTCTAAACCACCACCATTGGTGGTGAAATAACAAAATACTACCCCTAGAGTTGACACCCTTCAAGTGAAGACATTTCAGATAAGGGTGCACTAACATTTCTAAAAAAAGACAATGAAAAAAATGCCACAATATCAAAATCATGTTTTTTGGAGCTTTTGTTAAATAATCTCTTAAAAAATGTGATTATCTCTGGAAGAGATACTTTAAATTTTTAGTACCAAAGCTTATGAGGTTTAAGCACATGATTTTCAAACTAATACCTGCTTACTATCAAACGTCACCGCAAAGGTAGATACTGTGTATCCCTAATTTAGAATATGCATCTGAATTGTACTGGGGAATCAGGGCCATGCTTATCACAGCTGGGTTTCTTGCTGTTGCTGTTAGGCCCCTTGAAGAGTAAACGTCTTTCCTTTTGTAATTTCTCACACAGATCTGTGACTGTGGGTATTGTTTCCCCTCTGGGTGTTCTTTCCTGGTGAAGTCATGTCGCAATAGTTACAATATGCTATTGTGAAACAAGCAGATTTCCACTGGCATAACTTTGAATCAGTACAGAATATACAGTATGTGTACATACGCCATTTTCATTATTCTTTTTTGACATCATTAGCTACTCTATGGAGGAATATGTGATTGATTGTAAAGCTGTTGACATCTGTATTAACTTTCTATTGTTAACTACACTTAAACATCCTCACTATTCAATAGATACTGAAGAACCTAAAGTATGTGAGAATGAACACATTTCACTTTGCTAAATCAGCGAGAGTCAGATCATTTCAGAATTAAGGGTTTAAGAAAAATCAGAAATCTCATTTAAGATATGTGAGAACTTAACTGAGATGTTATTGTTGTATGAAGAGAAACAGCTTTCTATGACAAGTAGTGAGACAGAAGAGTAGCTTGAGGGTGTAGAACAGCATATAAATAAACATTTCCTGTTAAGGCCACCAACTTGGAACTGACCTCTGAGAAGGTTACAATACAGTATGTTAAAGGCCAAATGTTTTCCCAGAACTATTGTTTGTACTCCATTTAAATTTAATTTTAGATCCCAAGAACGGTTTAATTTTTAATTCTTTTTTTTAGTTATTAAACCCACGTAAAACAAATTTGGTTTAGCTAGGATGTACAACAATAGTAATTATAAGACAGGTTTTCATATGAATGTCCCCTTTAATTAAATTCACAGTTAGGGTTTGACAAAGAGCCCTGTTCAGTAAGACATAATCTGAGATTTTATAGACAGTGTACAATGTTTGTCTTTTGTTGACGGCATAACAAAATGACAGCATTTAATTGATCAAGAAAAAGTCTTTTGATAAAATTATTTAAATTAAAGAATGAAAGGATGCTAGTGAAAAATAAATACTTAAATAGCAGCTTTACTTTTTCTTTAATACTTTATATTTTATGGGCAGATATAAAAATGTCCGAGATGCCTCAAATTATTAAATGTTCCTATAAGACTGACTTATTCCCCTTGTTTATAAAGAATACCAAAAATAGTTTCATTATTTTTAGATCAGCTTTTTTTTCCCAAGAATACATAGTAATTAAGACCACCCCAGAGGTTACTGAATAGTAGACATTTCATTGTATAAAAAGTAGTGTTTTCATTACAATGAGACTGAATATGTTTTATCTACTGCCACAGTGATGGTCTGCAGGACTTTGTTTTTTCTTAACAGAATATGATTCTGGATTTGTGATCAAAATCTTGTGGTTACATGCAGTAATGTGTCCTTCGGAGGCCAAGTTAGGCTTTGTTAACAAATATATAAATAAATGATGAAACTTTTACCTGGTTCCTGTTGTTATGGCTTTCATGTTTTTACATTTTTTTTTTGTCTTAATAACATATTAATGTAATTCTGTCTGAACTAAAAGATGGCAGCCAGCCTGGTAATTTGCATGTGTGTTCTCTGACAGCATCTGTTTAAATGTGCTCTCTACATGTTGGTACATACCCTCGGGGAAATTTAAACAGAGTACAAGTTGGATATAAGCAATTCCTTAACTGGGGCATTAGCTTAAAATAAAACAGAATTAGAAGTCATAGGACCATTTTATTATTTTTAAGGCTGTCTTTTGTACTGCAATATTCAAAGTAACAGTGGTCATGGAGTGGCGTCCATGGAGTGGGCTTCTTGTGTCCCTGCAAGTCTTAGGAAAGCCCTAACCTGTTTATCTTCTCAGCAATTAATTCTGACCACTGCGAGCTGTATGCCAGGATGGTAATGCAAAGTTAAAGCTCCTATTTCCATCCACCCTTTTTGTTACAAAAATGAGCACTCTGCTGGAGCATTCAATGGAGCAGCAGGTGCTGCATGTAAAAGCAGTGAGCTTTGGAAGAAAATTAACAGAAAATAGTGCTACAACGCAGATCTGGGGAGTCTGGCATGTAAGGTTACAAAGATGGATTTGCTAGTGTGAAGCAAACATGGCAATTCAAATAGATTAATAGTAAATTCTCTCTCTCCCATTTACTCATTTGAGCCCTGGCACCTTGTGATTTACAAATTATCACCTGTAATGTGTTGGTAGCAAGACAAGATATTTAATTATGTAACTGGCAATTACAAATATGGTGGGTATGCAACAAAAAATTGAGAAAGGTTTCAGAAAAAAAAGAAGACAAATGATTACTATTCTCAATGCGAATCTTCCTTGCTCTCACCTCTCATCATTTTGTTTAAGGATAACTCCAGTCTTGGTGTCTTGCTGCAGACACTGCACTGTACTTCCATTACAGCTGCATGGCTTTACTTTGGTAAGAAGCTTAGAAATCCTGTATTGATTGGTTCACGAGAAACTGTATAATTTGAGTAAAAAACTTTTTATGTAGC